GGGTGAGGGTCAAAGTGCAATCTTCATGACCTTTTACACAGTGCCATTGAGTGTGGTATTATGTATTTGATGTTGGAGTTATCAGCTATTCATTTTACCCTACATTGGTGATAGGTAATAGTACAGGAAATAAATAATAGGTAAATATACAGAGATACTGAAAAACCATACACATACAATTCAGAGGATCTAGTGGTTATGCAAATGAACTATGCAAATTGTGCCATGGTCAAAAGAATTTATATTCTTTCCATGAATGCCACTTTGCACTTGAACTTGTCAGAATTTGAGTTGGATTGATGTTGGCAACACACAGACATATATTGAGTTCGAATATCTTTGTAACACATCTGAAATTTTGTGTACTTATAATAGACTTATACATTTTACTAAAAGCTTGTTGCATTTAGTGTAGATACACCTAGTAAATTGGGAATTATAGTCAACAATCCTTCTCCAGTATGGGTTTTGTCTAATGGAATGTCCTCTTTTGCACATTCAATTAATGTTGTCCATAGTTAGTAGTGTAACTTAGAGTATTAACTTGCTAAGAATAAAAATACTTCATCTTACAATTTTCATGTTTAAACCTCTAGAATCTCCTAAATGAATATCAAAAGTTTTTCACATGCCATTTTTTCAAAATCCTTCTGAATATCCAAGAAAACAAAATTTACACTAGTCTCAGCAGTGACATTTTTTAAGAAAATCAAGATTTGTGAGATGAAATTTCCTTTTGTGAAACTGTGTGGGCTGTCCAGCAAAGTTGTAAATTTTCTTAGATGGCTTTCAATAATTGGCCTATAATTATCTGAACAAAGCTTGTCAATAACCTTAAAAATAAATATAAAATTTTTGAAAGCCTAAATAGTGGGCAGGTGCCAGAAGACTGGAAGCTGGAAAATATTATATCTTATTTTTCAGTTTTCCTTAGAAAAGATGAGAAACTACCAGTGAAAACTGAAGATTATAATATCTCTTTCTTCAGCATCCCTCAAAAGCCCACTTCCCAGTATACTTACCTTTAATGTATTCAAAGAAACCCTTGCTCTCAGTTAAAACATTTTCAGCTTGACCTTTTTCACATGCCTTTTTTATTTTCTATAATAATTCAAGTTTTTCATCTTAGTATTAATCTTTCTAAATGTGTAATGTTTTTCTTTAATATTTCTTAATTATAATAATAGTGAGTCACCCTGTTGTGTTAATAGTAACCACTCTTTTTTTTTTTCCCTCTAGCCATCTGTTACTGTAAATTTAACTAAAATTAAGCTACATGACAGTATATATATAAATTACACTGTAAATATATCTAGGTAAAATCCTATTAATAATTATTATTGATACTGTCAATTACTAGTACTACAGATTTACACCACCTAGTTACATGCAAGTAATTGCTAGATTTAAATAATTTTCTGAAGTAGTTAAATACGTACAACTAATATATTAATTTTATTTATTTTTTAATGAATATTAATTCTCCTTATTTAACTAATTAATACTTGTAGTATTTCTTTATTTCAATTTAATAATTTTAATATTATTCTAAAAGTACTATAGTATAGATGCATATAACATAATGTAAACAGTAAGGTTAGATCTAGTGATCTGTGTATTTGACCAAATTTCATGCTGTGTCTATTGCCTATTTTTCAACTAAAATAGACCAGAATTTCAGTTTAAATCCACATAACATTTTTTGCTATACCTTGATTTATCTGTGGTTACTATTCAGTGGACCTAGTATCAGGGCATGAAAAAGTGTTTTCTTAGAATGTTAAAGTGTAAGAATAGACTTTATGTATGATGTGGAAGTGAAACAGAATGGGGATTTGGTTTATAAAAAAAAAGCTAAGGTAGGAGTGTTTTGGTTAGTGATTACAAAAGTACTGAGCATCTAAATGCTCTTTTTTAATTAGTTTTTACTAGGGAAGATGTAGAGTAGAATATACAAATGCTTCTTCCTTTAAAAGGTTGTTAAGATAGATCACTCAAAACTTGGATTTGGCATTATGGCAAATAATGACAAATATATAAAACTTTGTTTTACACTTTTCAGCAGTGGATTCAATGAGTGTAAAACAGCTTACTGGAAATTTGAAGATTTTATGGCTGATTTTTACAGATTGGTGCTGATGCATCTATTATCAGTTGACGTAGGGATTGGTTTTTGACAGTCTGTACTTCTGTGTTTCACATGTCCAAACATACCTAATGTATATATACTAATGGCACGTGTCAAGCTTCAGAACTCATCTTCAAATAAATCATATACTTATCAGACTACAAAAAGGACACATTTTCATCGGAATACAAAACAAATATATATTAGATGAAGTCAAAGAACTTCTCTTAGATTTATTTTCCTATAAACCTTTGAAAAATCAATAAATAAACCCTCATTTTGGGATACATTGTGCTCTCTCCATCATGAAGGCACCTGAATGTATTGCATACTTTCACAAATAAACAAACTTATTGATCTGATCTTAAAAATCAGATCATAAAAACATCAGGGAATTCTTTAGATTGGAGAAGTATAGATGGCTGATATGGAAATCAGTCACAGGCTTATTTTAGAGATTCTCTAGCTGGAACTGGTGACTTCAAAAGTGTGGCTGAATGCTTGGACCTTCCACCAAAGTTTTGTAAGCACTGATGGCTGGAGAACATCAATGTTGTGGAAGAGTTACTCATCTTAAAACATATGGGTGTGCAGAAAAACCCACAAAAATTAAATGACTGTATTTGTTAAGCTGTTAATTATCAACTCATCATCCCTAAAGTACCATTTTTTTCTTTCAGTTGCTAGAGAAATCAGATTTTTTCTCAAATAATTCCAGAATGATACATTGATGTTGCCTTTTACAGATACATATCACTGGTCTTGTCAGGGGATTGTTGGAAATATTTTTCTCTTCAGAATAACAAGAGAATATTATGGACCACAACATTTGCAAGCTTGAATTTGACAAACAAAAAGATTTTAAAGGAACTTTTCAAAATTGATACTGGTTTTATTACAAAGAAATCCTTAATGATTTAAAAAGGGCTTCAAAAATTAGTGATAAAAACTTACTAGGCTTTACACTTGAATGCAGGTAATTCTTCAAGGCAGGAGTCCACCTTAAGTTTGCAAAGGCACATGTGGAAATGATGTTAAATGCATCGCCCAGTGCTGTTATGTTTCAATTTGTCCAAAAGTCTGGTAAATGCAAGCAGAGTGGAAGAAAGGAACTGTGACACTATTCTCAAGCAGTACAAAGAGTTTCTCTTGACATCCCTGCAATTGCCTGGCTCAAGAGTTTGTATATTTCAGAAAAAGCAGGACAGACTGGACACTCTACATTTCCATCTCCTTTCAGAAAAGAAACAATTCCAGATGCAGCTGATTTATAGGCCAGTATTGAAAGGGGCTTTTCTGTAAATAAAGAAGCTATTGCAGAAAACCAACAAAGCATGTCTATTAATGCTAGGAGAGCCATAATTGACCATGATGGTTATGCTAGGGGTGTCCTGAATGTCAACGTAACTACAGAAATGCTTACCTTTGTTGGAAATGTAAGACAAAAGTATAGGATAAACATAGAAGTTTAGAAAGAAGATGCTATAGAAAGGTGACAATAGAATTGGAACTGGAAGACCTCAAAAATAGGAAGATCAGACTTGAGTCTGATAATAAACAGCTATGTTCATCAGCTCCTCATCCCTCAACCTGTTGTTATGATAACTGTTTTATGTACGTATTTCATCAAGATGGAAGACCCAAACACCAAACCTATACTACACATCCTCACATTTTGCCCACCTTTGCAACATATTACCACTGGAAATTTTCTTTACTGGGAAGCTCTCTGTGATATAAATGTAATATGTGATTAAATAAATAACAAAAAGTTGGGTGAAGAGTATTTCCTGCTTGAGAAGGATACATTTTCCCACTGGGTGCTGCTTCATTAGACAACCTCTGGTCTCATGAAAGTCACACACCATGAGCTTTCCCATTTTTATTGCAACATCTAAGATATTTACCTCTCTCCAGGATTACTGTTTATTGATGTTGTATTGCTTTTCTGTTGGTGGAGGGTTACAGCATTATGACAATTACATCATAGGCTGGTGCAACATACTTAGACACATGTAGAGGTAGAAGTTTGCTCAAGGCTTGTGTCATGCACAGGAACTTCCATGGCAGTTGTGTGTCAGGTAATAGCTCTTGCAATGCAGAGAGGTGTCTAGCTGAAATACATTTTCAGATAAGAAATATGTTAACATTATGACTTTTATAATAAAAAAAATTGCTTTATATTAGATTTTTTGTTACATATATCAATAATACTATAGATAGTGGTTCCATTTTTTAAGACAGACAGTAAATACATATAAGGTTTACACTGGACTGAAATTTTTGAAAAAGTTGACTAACTTTTAGTGGAAATTGTGAGCCATGTTTCAGTATTTCTAGTGGCTTAACCAGTCCAATTCATGGTCATTAATTCATTTATGTTTAGTTGGTGTGTCTTCTTTAGTGTTTTTAACCCTTCCGACAAAGAATAGTTCCTCTTAACTTTTCTACACCATTTATAACCACTTGTCTGTTTTGTTCCCAGCCAGCTTCTTTTTCTTTCCTTCTGCTATAATATGCAATTTTACATTTTGTGATTGTGTGTTCAGATTATATTGAATGCTGCACTTGGTTTTTTTCTGTGTTAAAAGCTATTTACAAGGCACTTTATAACAATACTTATTACTTCAAGTACTAGTCACTTAGTCTTTTCTGAAAGAGTGCATTCAGAATTTTATCAAAATATTCAGTCACATTATAGACTTTTTTTGGTAAAAAAATATATTTAAAATGTCTTTATTCAACATTGTAGATTAGCATTGTAGGTTATACATAGTATTTTCTCAGCACATTTTGGTTTCCAAAATTTAACATGATTAACAAATGCAGTTATTCTTCAGATTAATTTTTTAAACTGTTGCATTTATTTCAGGTGTAACAGGTCCATTTAGCCTGCAGAGAACTTAGCTGCTGATCCTGAACAAAGTATGCAAAATGGCTACTAATACTGAAGTTGAAGAAGAAACTATAGATCCACCATTATATGTGGATGCAGTAATGATGGATCATTCTTATTCTTTATTTCATCAAGACTGTTTGAAGCATTTCAGACTAACAGAGTAGGTCTTTGGATTTTAAATTAATATTTTATTTAATAGTAGAGAAGCCACTACACAATTATAAAATCCCATAAATTCACCACTTTAACTTGATTGTCAAAAAATTCATTTTATGTTTCACCCTTTGCTTTGTTACAAACAGAAAGGTTTTTTATCTGTGAACATATCAGATTTACTTAAGGTAATTCTTGAATATGTTTTTTAATTACTCATTTACAAATTACTCATTTAAAGGTACAGGAGATATCTAGTATTTTAACTAATGTTAATAAAACCAATTAATGTTAGTCTTTTTAAGGCGAGGAGTTATACTAACGTACTTTATTTTATTATCAAAAGCAATCTACCTACCTAAAGAAGTTATACTTTATTTTATTATCTAGGCATCTGATGCCAGTTAAAAAACGTTTGGTCAAGATGTTCAGTGTGTAAAAGCTAAATCTGACACTGAAAGTAGTTATGACATATTGGTATGTCCCATAAATTTGTTTCCTAATTGTTACTTCAGGAGAAAAAAAAGTGAAGTTTTGCTACTTAGTGTTTTGATGAACTTTAAAGTACATATGGGTCACACAGTTATTCAATGAATAATTGGGATACATATACTTTAGATAAACAACACAATGTCAAAAAAAAGTCTTGTGCTTTCTAACAAGTCCAGCCTGAGAAGACATGAGTTATTTCCATATTTCTTAACTAAATAGTCAAATCTATGTTTTTAAGTTTCATTTTCTTTGTTTCTATAAACAGACTGATGTCAGTTAAAATTCATTGAAACAGTATGTCAAAAAAAAAGTCTTGTGCTTTCTAACAAGTCCAGCCTGAGAAGACATGAGTTATTTCCATATTTCTTAACTAAATAGTCAAATCTATGTTTTTAAGTTTCATTTTCTTTGTTTCTATAAACAGACTGATGTCAGTTAAAATTCATTGAAACAGTACATCTTTAAAGCTATTATTAATTTTGTTTTATGATAGAAGTTGTAATTATGAAGTTCATGTATTAGTTTCCTGAAAATTCCAAATGTTTCCATCAGTTGAAAATAAGCACTGCTTATATGTTACTGCTGCAATTAGAAAAAGTCTCTTACTTCTTTGGCAAATTTAATTTCATGTGCTTTTACTAATTGTATACATTAATCTCATACAAAGTGAGATGTTTGTTGTACCTTTCTGGAGATGTTTTGTTTAAATACAGCTTTATGGTGCATTACAGACACCAAGAATAGTAGCCTTTTTTCCACTGGCTAATTATAATTGCATGCCACAATTTTTTTGTATCCATACCTGAGGCTTTTGGTGCTTTTTGCCACCCATAATAATAGCTATCCATAGGTTACCATCTTTGTTAATATTTCAGTCATCTCTAACTTTAACTTAGTAAGTTAAATCTATAGATAGTGTTTCCATTCCTAAGGCAGACTGTCGGGTTTTTATGTATGTATGTGGGGAAATGATTCTTTACAGTAGGTGTCTGTGACTTGTTTGCAATAAATTCTAAAAATAAACAGACAGTACATAATTCACTTGTTTTAAAATAATATATTCAAAACAAGTCAAACTTATATACAAACGTTCTTTACACTGTTAATTACCACAGTTGTATTCAGTGCTTAAATAATTGTCTCTTTTCGTCAAGAGTACACACAAGCTGGTTCATTTGCTTTAGAAACCAAGATGATAAGACAAATTATTCCTATCTACTCTGTTATTACAATACAATCTGCTGTTATTACACTTTAAAAATTGCCACAATTACATTCTTTATGGCTAAACTTACAAACACAGTCTAGATCTATTTGACTATATCTCTCACTAACTTTGTCTTACTTTTACTTACTCACTTACTTGCACTAACTTGTTTGCTTAGATACATATATATCTATCTATAATAATAAAAGGGCATGTCTGTGTGTGTGTGTGTGTGTGTGTGACTGCTATAACTCCTAGAGGAAAAACCTAGAAATTTTGCACACATACTAAGTGGACCCTGAAGATGTGCACCTAGGTATTATTACTCATCCACGTGCATGCACATCTTTTTATGAGGCAAAGTAGGGAAAACCACGTAGAAAAGAATATGTGACTGCCATATCTCCAAGAGGAAAGAGCCTAGAAACCTGAAATTTTGCACCCATTCCAAGTGGACCATGAGGGTGTGCACCTGGATATTATACTTATCCACGTGCCTTTACCAAACAGGTATTAGATTTCACATTGTGTGGTCGAGGAGCATACCTGTTTCAGAAGGAGTGTGGACCCCGCTAGTGTGCTGTTACTATATCTCATTTTCACTCACCTCTCTTCTACACAGATGCTTTCTGTGTGGATTTTGCCCTCATCAGCCCCTCCACCTTGTCAATGTGGGATTCTAGCTATAGTGTGAGAGGAGGTAACATTTTCCTATACCGAAAATGTATTTCTGATAATACTTACCTCCTCATTTTACTTTTACATAAATTTTGTAGATACATTATTTATGCAATGATATCAAGCTTAGAAAGAGATGTATTAAGGTATACTGATGTTTGAGATGTAGTTCAAAGTGGCTGCGACACAATAGATTCCAGGAATGTTATGCAGAATATTATTTTAAATATGCACAGGAAGGAAAACACAAATACATAAGTGAAGAAAGAAGTAATAAAAGTATTTATTCACAAACATTTTTTTGTTTAACACAAAACTATCCAGCTTCTTCTGGTGTTGAGTATTTTATATTAAATTTATTGTTTTATTGCCTTTTGAATTATGTCTAACTAATACTCCTGCTACAGAAGTTGTAAGTCACTGGCAAGTGTGTAGCTCACATTACCCTATTAAATTACAAGAGCTGCTTGTGAGCATACCTTGTGAAGAATGTTTATTATTAATGTTCTTTATCTTACCTTATCTAACTTAATAAGCTTGTAATTGTTACATTTTAGTCTTTTATTATAATAAATAAACAATACACATGAAAAACAAGAAATATAGTATTTACCTGGGTGTTCTTTTTTTCTGTTGTTGACTGTCAGTGAAACTTAATCCTACATTTTATAGTAATGGTACTAAAGCTCTAAATATTTTTTATTTGATTAAATAATACACCTAAGAACATAGAATAATAATACCTAAAAATCAGAGAATGCCCTATAACTATCATAATTGTTTTAACTTTCTAATTATGTGATAAGAGCCATTCAAAATTAAGCTAGCCTTGACATTATGTTTCCCATGGGAATAAAGTTTGAACTGAAAGCAAAATAGACAATTGTCTGTATAGAAAACAACGTAACATAATACATCATTTGATAGCTTAAAAGTCAGAGAGAACTATTGATAATTTGTGAAAGATAGGATGTGACAAGTGGGCATGGCAAGGAGGTCTGAAGACTATAAAAATTATGCATTGCATGAGTACTAACTATATTATAATGATTAATTTACATTAAATTCCATAGTTCTTGGACTGGTGGTAAATAAAGAAGAGGAAAGACCTAAAGAGCAGTTATCACAATTCTCATACTAAGGGAGATTGAGGATTTTTTAAATATTTCCTTATAAAATTAAGAACTTAAAACTTATATAATATTAAAATTAATATATTAACTACATGTTGATGCTACATATATATGTATAACATGATAATAAAGTAGTTTAATTAATATTTTAAATGTAATTCTCTAAAGAGTCATGTACTTTGACTTGCCTTTGGTGAGAGGTTAAATCAATTTTGGGATCTCACTATATTGTAAAAGCTCATGCTACCATGCTTTATGTGATGACTGGCTCTGCAAAAGGCACTATCATAAGGCTGTTATTTCAATAATACACCACTCCTCCCTGTATGTTTTCCATAATTCATCATGTGTTTGAGGATGATTTTTTTTCAGCACTCATTTTAACAGTCCAATCACGCAGTAGTTGATAGATGACTTAACTGGTATGCCTTTGTATGGAATATCATAAATAGCCAATTCATTCTCCAGTTGCATGAGGTATGCAACGGTTAAACAAATCTAATCCAAAACATCTTAGGTGTGAAAAAAAAGTGCAACTTAAAGGAATGAAATCAAAGTTGGTGTTCAAACTGGTAATTACACTTATAGCATTAATAAGGATTGCCTAGCAAATATTCATTCATTAGTTAGCCAGGCCGCATTTTTTGTTCAACTTGGGGCATGATGGTGGTTAAAACAAAATATGCAGCCTAGCTAACTAATTAATGAATGTTTGCTGTAAAATCCTTATCAATGTTATAAGTGTAGGTACCAGTTTGGCTGCCAATTTTGATTTCATTCCTTTAAGTCACACACTCAATTTTTTTTTGGCCTCACCTTTTTTTTTTTTCACACCTAAGGTGTTTTTGATTAGTTATCATGATTTTTTGCCAATACATACCAACAAACCACAGCAAGTAAGAAAGTGACACACATTAGCTTTAGAATTGCAGTCCTATCAATCGGAACAGACCTATGTTTACAGAACCAATCAGGCTCTATATAAAATATATGGTGGTAGTTTTCCTCTCTAAAACAGTGTTAATAGCTTCCTTTATAGTAACACCCGGGAATTTAGATTAACAGGTTTCTTGTCATCAACTCCATGCAATCAATACAGCTGTATCAAGCATCATTATTTATACTAATTGCTTAAGCTAATATCACGTGACAGTAAACACTCTTTAATTAGGATAATTTCATAAAACTTGGTAAATTTGCGCTGAAAGGTTGGCAATGAATAATCAGTAATAACCATCCAGCAGTATGCTTGTTTTGAAAACTTAGCTAGAAACTGCTAATTTAGTTTGGTTGGCCTAACCAGTATTTGTGTCCTTTCACCTTATAGTTTTGCTGCTCTAAATCAGCTGTTTTTAATCTGAATGATAAAAACTAAAAAGGTCCACTTTTATTCTTAGGTGAAGCTGTATTAACAATGTTAGTCAAACAGCTCGCGTGAATTTTTGCATAGGCATGCTCAAAAATTTAAAATAAATTGGAGCACTTTTTGCTAAATAA